TGGACTCATCAGACCAAAGCACAGATTTCCACTGGTCTAATGTCCATTCCTTGTGTTTCTTGGCCCAAACAAATCTCTTCTGCTTGTTGCCTCTCCTTAGCAGTGGTTTCCTAGCAGCTATTTGACCATGAAGGCCTGATTGGCGCAGTCTCCTCTTAACAGTTGTTCTAGAGATGGGTCTGCTGCTAGAACTCTGTGTGGCATTCATCTTGTCTCTGATCTGAGCTGCTGTTAACTTGCGATTTCTGAGGCTGGTGACTCGGATGAACTTATCCTCAGAAGCAGAGGTGACTCTTGGTCTTCCTTTCCTGGGTCGGTCCTCATGTGTGCCAGTTTCGTTGTAGCGCTTGATGGTTTTTGCGACTCCACTTGGGGACACATTTAAAGTTTTTGCAATTTTCCGGACTGACTGACCTTCATTTCTTAAAGTAATGATGGCCACTCGTTTTTCTTTAGTTAGCTGATTGGTTCTTGCCATAATATGAATTTTAACAGTTGTCGGCTGTGTATTAACCTGACTTCTGCACAACACAACTGATGGTCCCAACCCCATTGATAAAGCAAGAAATTCCACTAATTAACCCTGATAAGGCACACCTGTGAAGTGGAAACCATTTCAGGTGACTACCTCTTGAAGCTCATGGAGAGAATGCCAAGAGAGTGCAAAGCAGTAATCAGAGCAAAGGGTGGCTATTTTGAAGAAACTAGAATATAAAACATGTTTTCAGTTATTTCACCTTTTTTTGTTAAGTACATAACTCCACATGTGTTCATTCATAGTTTTGATGCCTTCAGTGAGAATCTACAATGTAAATAGTCATGAAAATAAAGAAAACGCATTGAATGAGAAGGTGTGTCCAAACTTTTGGCCTGTACTGTACATCTGACTGGCTCATGTACATGGCTGCTGGACTGACATAGCTCATGTATGGCTCTCATTACTCCAGTATATGTGCTCATACTGTGTGTTCTAGTATGTGGGGTATATGATTGATTAATTGATTAACTGATTTTTTTATTTTGTGTCATGCACACAAACATGTGCCCAACCTATATGGGTTTACAAGACACCATTACAATGACATTGCAGTGAACAATCCAAAGTACATGTTACTTTACTGCCCAGTCCTGAGACAAAATACTCTGCCTTCTATCCCAGGCCTGGAAAAGAAATTTAGCCTCAAAAAGGTTCCCCTTCTGAAACAGAACTCAAATTTGTTATGATTATCCAACCAAAAGAAATCAACATAGATAGAGGCCATTTTACTGAAAAGTACATCCCTTATGTCTTCATATACAGGACAGTAAAACAAGAAATGACCCTCATTCTCAATAAATTTTGTCCTCCTCTGAGGTGGTGTTAAACCTTCCAGTTTCTATGGCTAGTGGTAATGTTCCTAAGCGTAACTGTGCACATAGGGATCTTTGTCTTTTGTTAAGATTATACTTAATGTAAGGTTCCACACTGTAGCTAGTCTTTATGAGACAGTAGTTTTGGTTTTCATAGTTTTGGTTTATACCATATGTCAACAGACCACTTTTCTCTAAACATATGAAACGTTTCACTATTAAAGGGATAGTTCACCCAAAAATGAAAATTCAGCCATTATCTACTCACCCATATGCCGATGGAGGCCCTGGTGAAGTTTTAGAGTCCTCACATCCCTTGTGGAGATCGGCGGGGGGAGCGGCTAGCACACCTAATGGTAGACGGCGCCCCAGACTAACGTCCAAGAACACAAAATTGAATCCACAGAGTACCTCCATACTGCTCATTCGTAGTGATCCAAGTGTGCTGCAGCCCCGACACAAAAAGTTGTTTCGAAAAACGTCCTATGAACATCAGTACTGACGAGACTGCTGCTCTTCAGAGACCGTGCATCACCGATCACCCTGAGCGCGCACACGTGAACGTGGAGCACAGAGAAGCAGTCAGAGCTACAGGCTACAGTGAGGCTAAAAACAGAGTTCATATGACGTTTTTCGAAACAACTTTTTATGTTGGGGCTTCAGGATACTTGGATCACTATGGATGAGCAGTATGGAGTTACTTTGTGGATTCAATTTTGTGTTCTTGGACGTTAGTCTGGGGCGCCGTCTACCATTAGGTGTGCTAGCCGCTCCACCCGCTGATCTCTGCAAGGGATATGAGGACTCTAAAACTTCACGAGGGCCTCTGTCGGCATATGGGTGAGTAGATAATGGCTGAATTTTCATTTTTGGGTGCACTATCCCTTTAATCTCCTGAATATCACGTTAACGTACAAAAACAACTGAACTCTCCATTTATTGTATAATGTCAAATATTGTATTTTTATCGCATGGGGAATTTTAATGCTTCAGTGGAACATGTTTCTGACATCAAGCTGCACTTAAAAAGTGTCTATTCAAAAGGTTTATTATTTTGGAAACTATGATTACACTGACTCTGCTGTTACAGGAAGTGAATGATGTAGCATTTGTTCGTGAATATGGTTAATAAACATGACTGAATGCTAACACAATGATTTGATTTGATTTGATTTTAATGTCATTTTAATTTTTAAAATTATATGTAACTAATTATTTTAGATTTGATGGAATACATACAAAATGATAGTGTTTCATTAGTTCCAAAATGGTTAAAAATGGACTGTTGGACTATTCATTTTCATCCTGGTGTCTAATGTCATTCACATGTTGAATTTAATGTAGTTGGTTGAATGTAATTAATGTAGTTGGTGTTTTTATGTTGGCTCTACTAAACTGTTAGTCTTACAGATAATTTTAGACAATAGAATAGATGTATATTACAGTATTGAGTTTTGGCCACTAAAATATCAAGTTAATCAAAAACAGAAAAACATAGTTGAAAAATTTTGCCTCATATTTTTTTGAGTCTAATCAAAGTCATTTTTTTCTATTGTGTAGTTTCATATGCAAGACTTATACAATCTGTAAACTATGTTTTTGCTCTGTGTGTGTGTGTGTGTGTGTGTGTGTGTGTGTGTGTGTGCTCACACACACACACACACACAGACACAGACACACACACACACACACATATATAATCAGACCTTAAATCCAGTTTATAAAAAGCTCTGTAATGCTGTGCTGTGTGCAGTACTTTAGCAGGCTGGTCCTCTCAGTATCACAGCATAATAATATCCTTATTTTGGGATTGCAGGTCTCTGTGTGTCATGTCTATCTCTTGTTTTTTTGTCATTTCTCTCAGCCCTCAAACCAAGAGTCATCACTGCAGATAAAATGATTTGAAATGATCAGAGGAAAAGGAAAAAGGAGGCCTACACAAAATGTTATCATCATGATGCCTTTAGATAAGACAATGATGTTATGATCTAAAGGGTATGGAGCTATAAAGTCAGTGACAACCGCAGCTGATATTGGCTTCTGCAGTGTTTGCATGTCCAGCTTCGTACTGACTACACTGTGGTTTTGAAGATGTAATGTTCTGAGCATTTCAGTTTTACAAGAGAAGTCTTATCTCCACTAACTAGCATTTTTTCCTGAGCTTTCAACTACACGTGACAGCCTCCCCCAGCAGAGAAACAATAGGGATTGGGTTCAGACATTTTTTTTTTTTTTTAAACTTCTGTTTCCAAGGTTGAGAATGAACTTTCGTGCTTAAATGTCATTTTGTGAAGAAGTATTTTAGTTTACATTTTTGGTGTGTGTATATTTCCTGTATTGCTTATGTTATACTCATGACATCCAACAACACCAGTGCAGCAAAAATGAGGCTTTCAAACAGAATATAGAATATACTGTGCTGACTAGTCCAGCACAGGTGAACATTAAAGAAGTGCTTATAGGACAGACATGTCCAAAGTCCAGCCCCGGGGCCACCCCGGCACGTGGACTAATTTCACACAAAGTTGGTCAATTATACAAGTTTGCTTTTCAAATTTTCTGTTCACCTCACAATGGACTATCGTACAGTTTAAAGATGTGCACCAAGAAGGAACTACACAGGCAGAATTAATGGGTTTTCATAAACAGACAGTGAACATGCAAACAAATGGTTACCAAGCAGCCAACATTTGCTGCTGGGTAGCAGACATGGCCACAGCAAAACAGCCAAAAGCCAAGAGTACAGGAATGTTAAATACTTCAGCACTGAAAGATGAAACAGTTGTGTTTATCTCATTTGTATGTGATTTATTTGAAAAACACTTTTATAAAAACTGAGAAGCAGCTGCCCCCCAGGTCAGTTCACATGATCTAATCTGGCCCCCATTCTAAAAACGTTTGGACACCATTGTCGTAGGATCTTCAGACCGCCCATTTCCCAAATAAGCCCTCACCCTCAATAGTTGTGCATTAAAAAAAAATAAAGGCCTGTGTTGGTGGTGTTTCAGGTACCAGTGAGAAATTAAATGCTCCATTTTCCATCTGTGTCTTTTATACACAGCCTGAAAATGTCCTGAACGCAGTCTGACTTTCAGAACCTGACAGTACAACAATCACAATATTCTGCTGATGAATTAGAAAAACAACCCTTTAATTTCACTCTAATGGGTATACAGATCAGTGTCATAATTTTCAGTTTCATTAAGAAGAGCTTTATGTGATCATTTTGTGGAAGTGTGTGATATAAATTTATGAAAATATTCCAGAACTATGCTGCTGACATTTAATGAAAACTTCTTAAAAGAAAATCTGCTCCTGTGTCCGTGAAATTATAAGTACCTGATAAAGCACGAGGCAGTGGTAAAAGATCCCATCCAGAAATATCAGCAAAAACTAAACAAGGCCTGTTGTGTTTCTCACTCTGAAAGCTTTTGTGCATGACACTACTCCTGTTGTTAATAATTTATGATTTGAAATATTTGCACAAGAACATGTTCACAAGGTTTATCCTCATCGACTGTGTTCTGCTCTCACTGAACACACGCTCTAATTCTACACATACTCTAAGTCTTTCCCATTTTCATCACTTTGTAATGATCCCAGCCAGATGATTTCAAGTTTTGGTGTAAAACAGTAAAATCTGAGCTTACCGTACCACCTCCGCGCAGAACCTTCTCTTTGCCTCTGTCTTCCCTTCTTCAAGGGAGATACTTTGAAATGATTCAGAGGGGAACTTATTTCACAGGAAATATGGTTTTCGGCTGCTCAAATTTAGTGTAAGAGACAGGCCTAGGTTTGAAGAGGACTGCACCATTACATAATTTTGGTTGGAAACCCAAAAAAGTAACAAACAGACAAAAGATAAAAAGGAGGAGGTGTACTTCTCAATAAAATCTAAACCATATATCATTTGTCAATTTATTGTTTGTAAAAGTTTCAGTTGAGCTGCTAAAACTAAAAAAAAATAATAATAATTTCAAAATATTTATCATCCTACTATCTTAAGAAATGTTTCTAGTAGTGGATGTTAGAATAAAGGTAAACACTCAGCACTCACCTGGTGACAGTCTCAGAGGCAAAGGGCACAGTAAAGCTATGAGATATCCACTCACTATTTATACCCACAGCAGGAGACGGAGGAAAGTCAAAGCCTATGTTCTCAGCAAATCACAACACAACACAACACAACAAGAAACTGCGACGAAAACCTTTACACTTTCCAAACGCTGCTCTGACAACCTGAAAAAATATGTTTGTTGGAAAGTAAGCAGTTTTATACCCGAGCACAAAGAACAAACAAGCCGTGTTTGTGCAAAAGTTCAAACACCCAAGCAAAATAACGGCTTTTTCCACACGTTTAACCTGCCTCAGTCCAAATGTTCTGTCTTCAACAACAATGTAGAGCTTTCACTGTTCAGGTTAATTATCTTATTCGTCAGAGTACCTCCATCAGGAATACATGAATCCTAACACATCTATAGTATTACAGAGTGTAGTTGGTGCTGTTCCTAAACAAATAGGATTTCTTTGAAGCTTGAATGGAACTAAACAATACAAATTAGTTCCTTGCTGCTTTTCAAATAACAAAGATGCATTTCTCTTTATTTCAATTTCAGCATTTTGATCAGTTAGGCCTCATGTTGGTTTTTTTCTGCCCTCTAGACATCCACTGAGTAACATTCACATCTGCATTAAATCTGAAGCACACAGGGACATTTTAGAGCATTTTCAGCATTCATGTTCATATTCTGCATGTGAACATTACAGCTATGCTCCTTTAAAGTGTTGGTTCACTAAAAATGAGACCTTCCTCACCACCCTAATACAGCAGAGATGAATGGAAATTGCTTTTTTGGTGTTAAAACCTCATCGTATAAAAGTCTCAAAGAAGGGTATCTCAAAACTTGTGAGAGAATAGAACTGAAAACTGTGTGTGTGTGTGTGTGTGTGTGTGTGTGTGTGTGTGTGTGTGTGTGTGTGTGTGTTTGTGTGTGTGCGCGTGCGCGCACATGTGAGTGTTCAGCAACCACTTTTGGTTTATGTCACTGGACGTCAGTAAGATTTAAAGTGAGCCAACTTCTAGATTTAGGTTTCAGATTTACCATTTAGAAAGTAATTACTGTATATCTACTTAATTTAGATAACCTTAGATTTACTAATGTTGTACTAAAAACAAAACGGTATGAACAGGAGATATTTTGCTGTCCTGTAATGGAGAGTTAGTTGTGTAAATATGTGCACAACATGGGAAAACTGTCCTTGCATCTTTGTCTTAGTTCTATCCAGGTCCGTTTCTAGGATTTGAGGACATCTAGGGCTTTGCCCTGGCCTCTGTGGGGGGATCAGGGGGATCCTCCCACTGATTTTTTTATTTTTATTTATTTATTTATTTTTTTTAATGAACAAGCCCCATTTTGCTGCTTTATTTAAAATACATTCTGGTTTCTTATGTGTGTTGTTGTTGTTATTTTGCTTTTTTCATTTTCCAGATTAATTATTAATTGTGATATGAAAATATTAGTAGTTGTTAGTGTTTAGTATTGAGTAGAAACAGAATACTTTGCAACTGCTATCATTGAAATTTAGAGAATTCTGAGGTGCTTGTACTTGAGTATTTCCATTTTGTTCTTTTTTATGAGTCTACTTATCGCAGAGGGCAACATTGTACTTTTCACTCCCCTACATTTCTTTGTCTGCTTTTATCACTTTGAAAACATGGATTAATAATACAAAATATAATCAACTCATAAATTATGATGTATAATTATAGATTAAACTTCCCAGCAGTATATAAAGCATTTAAAATGAGCTCTGCATTTACCAGTTGTAACATTAAAGTGAGTTGAAGTTGTGATCATACAAAATGCACTGCTTGAATGACAGAGGATGCAAAATTTGTGTTTTTTGATTTACAGTATCAGGCTTTAATGCATTAACAAAATGACACAGTAGATCTGGTGCTTTTTTTGTTTGTTTTTTGTTTGTTTTAGGCCTATTCTTCTTCTTTTTTAAAACATATATGTATATAGCCTATTTAGTTTATTTTTTTATTTTTTATCTTCTTTTTTTTAGGCTTATTCTTATATTCTTATGACTAATGGATTATTGTAAAAGCAAATCTTTACTGTAGTTGATTCAGGTGGAGCTCATTTTGAACTGAGGAGGATTTTTACCATGGATCAGTCTGCTGGATATTTTATTAATAAATCAACTGATTGTTTGGTTTTTATAATGATAAAAAGGAAAAGTATTGAATCTTCAAATTTGTGAAGATGGGACTATGAAAGTTTTTTACATAAGAAAAATGACAAATGATGATCAGAATAGTTGGCAGTTAATTTTCTGTAAAGCGACGAATTATTTGATTAATCCACTAATCATTTCAGCTGTGCTTGTATAAACTGTTAGGGAGGTTAACTGATGATGGAACCTATTCTACAAGCTATTTGTTCATTTTGTGTGCAAAAATCTTAATTTTTAAATTAACTGAAGCTGTCAGATAAATGCAGTGCACTAATAAATATAATATTTCCCTCCGAACTGTAGTGGAGTAGAAGTATAATGTTAAAAAAAGTACAAGCACCAAAAAATTGTACTTAAGTATAGTACTTGAGTAAATGTACTTAGTTTTAATCCACTGTTGCTTTTTCTAGCATCCATTCATTCCAAGCTCAATATGAGGCCACTTTTCTCCTGACCATTTTAAATACACTACAAGTTTTTCAACCAGACAGTTTGCAGCACTGTACGGTTCATCAATTCCATTTGAATTCTTAGATGCTTCAGACACTTGGCATCGGCTCTGATAAATTGTCAGACATGAGTGATGCTGATGTGAGCTGGAAACGATGCATCATTTTTTCACGTGCAGCTGGCGCCGCAGATCAGAAGTACACGGGTGTCTGTGTACAGTACGGCCAATACGGCATACTACGGTGTTCTCGTGTGAATTTCAACAGTGTGATAAAAGCTTTGATGACTCTACTTTCTGATCCCACAACATGACTGAGCACATGATGATGAGGTGAGAATTCTGTTTTGATTCTTGCTGACAGGGTTTTGGGAGACTTGCATGTGAACTGTAAATGATGTTGCTGTCTCAGTGTGGGTGATTGAGAGTGAAAATCATCAATCATCACTTCCCTGACAAAGGTGTTGGATGTAAGGGCTTACTCAGCTGATTCAAGCCAGAGTGGGGGTGAGTATTTGTTTCATTAGAGGTGAAATTCTACCAGTGCCTGTGACATTTTATAGTGAAAGTGCCGAATTCAGAATTTCAAAGAAAACACTCCTTTGGCTGCTTTCTCTACATTTATTCCATCTGTGGTTTAAATGTGGTGAAAAGCTTTACTCATTTATGGAATTACTTGACCAAAGTGTGTAAATATATTTATAGAAATATATTACTCACACTACTCTCCTTTTTTTAAATGGTAAATGGACCGGCACTTGGAAAGTGCCTTTCTAATCTTCCAACCACTCAATGCTCTTTTAACACTACATGTTACATTCACACACACATTCACACACTTACAGCTGAGGCTACCATTCAATGTGCCACCGGCTACTGAGCTTAAACCCATGCACACCCCAATGGAACAGTCACTGAGAGCAATTTGCACCTTAAAAAAATTCAAGGGGTTAGTTGAATGCTTAAAATAAAGAAGTTTGTAAATACGGAAAAAAATTACATTTGTTTCATCAATGTGTTTTAGTCAGTTGATGACTTATTTTAAAAATTTGGTTTTTGAAGTCAAAGAAAAATCATGTTGGTTGTACTAAACTATTTGAGTTCATAAAATTCTAAAATGATTTTCTCAATAATGCCAGAGTTGGAACTACTTAAAAAGGTGCATGCAAATTGCTACCTTTTTTTTTTTTTTTTTTTTGAGGCAGTGGGGTTTAGTATCTTGCCCAAGAATACTTAGAAATGCAGACTAGAGGAGTCAGGAAATGAACAGCTGCACTTCTGATTAATGGATAACCCGCTCTGCCTCCTGGGCCACAGGACTTTCCTTGTGATGATTCATTGTGTCAGATCTGAGTTTGGCATACATAAGACATCACTGGATCACTCTATATTCAAACAGCTACTGTCCAATTTTAAAACTGTTTGACTGTCTAAATTCCATAAATCATTAATAAACAATCAACTCGAGTCAAGTCAAGTGCTACTTCCTTAATTTTAGATGACATTGTGTTAGCTGTAGACAATAGGGAGCACAGTGTTGCTCTTTTTATCGATTTATTAAAAGCCTTTGATACAGTTGATCATTCCCTCCTTCTGCAAAGACTATCAGAAATTGGAGTTGATCCACAAGCCATTGGTTCAACAATAACCACTCTGGCAGACAAGTGTGTAAAAGTGGGAAATGTTAGATCAGAGTTTTTACCAATAACAAAACGTGTCCCTCAAAGTTCAATCTTAGGACCAGTGCTGTTGCAAAATGCACTTATACATGTCAAACTTGTATTACATGCTGCTAAAACTAAATGTATGCTGTTCTCCAAAGCCAAAAGTATTAACCACAGTATTCTCCAAATCTGCACTTAAAATGGTACAATCACTGATCAAGTTCCACATTATAAATATTTAGGCATCTGGACTGCTGACAAATTCACCTTCAAACAACATATTGATGCACTAACAAAAAGAATGAAGAATGAAGCTTAGCTTTTTTTGTTTTCTTTTTTATACAGAAAGAGGTCCTGTTTTTCTTTATCTTTTAGAAAGAAGATTGCTTCCTGTCAGTGTTTGACTATGCTGATGTGATTTATCACCATGTAACCCTGACTGATTTTAACTGCATCTGTTATGAACTTGTTTTATATATTTTTATAT